AGCCTCTTGGCATCAAATACAGCCCCCAAACTCTAAGCTTCTATGATCTCAACTCAGCTTTGATTTGGCCAACAAGTAAGAAGACATTAATCCAACTGGGTGGCACAGTGGATATAGACTGCTGGGCCTGGAGTCAGGAAGACCTGAGTTCAAATCTGGCCTCAGACACTTACTAGCTGTGTGACCCTGGGCAAGTCACTTAACTCTGTTGACCTTAGTTTCCTCATCTGTAAAATGAGCTGGAGAGGAAAATGGCGAACCATTCCAGTATCTTTGCCGAGAAAACCCCAAAAAGGGTCACCAAGAGACAGACATGAATGAAAAATGACTAAACAACCACAGTAAAAGGAGAAATTGCTCCCAGTGGTGCTTCTTATATAAGAGTTACAAAAGCAGATTTCTTAGGTCACTTCTCTTTTTTTAACCTCATTCTAGTGAGAGTCTAGTCACATAAATTATGGAATAACAGAACTTTGAGCTCCTTCTTATAAAGTATCTTAGGTCATTTTTTCCCCTTCTTTTTTACCTTTGGGTGGCACATATGTCTTTTGAATCTCTCATTTCTTTAGTGTAAATACTCCCACTGTTAATAGATATTACAGCTCCATGCCTGGGTAGATGGTCATTCATGCATCATTGTGACCAAAAATATAACAGGTTGTTTAGTTGGGTACTTTCCTTTTGAGCACTTTTAAAAAATAATTCTTTTGTACAGAGATGACTCCTTTGTATTCTTGTAAATATGGGCATTAGCTCTATCTCACTTTCTAATCTCCTCTTCAGCTGAAACATTCATTTAAGCTTTATTTTGTGCTTATCAGGTTTCTCCACTCTTCTCTGAACACCAACATTTTTCATCAAAATTTTATCATCTTTCTTCAGTTCTTGAACTGGTATTAAAACAGACAGTTATTGACTTCTGGCCATCTTGTTGGTGAGCAGTTTTCTCCAGGCGAGGCCAAGTTAGTATCTAAACTAGTCTTTAAATGAGAGACACCATCTGTTGCCTATATTCAAAGGCTCTTTAGGTGTGTTAGACACTGTCAGAGTTTGATTCTTGGGCATAGCTTTTGAGAATTTGGGGTCACTTGATACCGTGATGAGGTTTCGGAGGACGACTTTAACAGAGGGCTATAAGGAACACCTTAGAACATGGTTCAGGGAGGCACCACATTATTTGTGGAGACACAAGGGACTGTTTTCCTGTTTTCAAACAAAGTCTTTATCTTTACGCGAAAGAATGATGTATGTAGCACCACAGAGCCTATATCAGACACATCCGAAGCTGAGACTGCTGTTTTTCAATATTATTTTTTCTTCAGAAATGTCAGAAACTTCCTTGTCCCAAGGGAATTTGTTCATTCATGTCCACCTCTTTTTTTTTTTTTTTTTTTTTTAGGCAATTGGGGTTAAGTGACTTGCCCAGGGTCTCACAGCTAGTAAATGTCTGAGGCCAGATTTGAACTCGGGCCTTCCAAGGGGATTTGTTAAGAGGCCTATTGTGTGAGTCACTAGATCCTGTATCATATCCAACTCATGTAACAGACTATGGGTACCCATCCTGTCCTGGAAAGAGATAAAAAGAGAATCACAGAATGTTAAAGGTGGTGCAATGGATAGAGTGCCAGGCCTGAAGTCAGGAAGACTCATCTTCCTCAGTTCAAATCTGGCCTTAGACACTTAACTGACTGGATGATCCTGGGCAAGTCACTTCACCCTGTTTGCCTTAGTTTCCTCATCTGTAAAATGAGCTGGAGAAGGAAATGGCAAAGCACTCCAGAATCTTTGCCAGGTAAACCCCATATGGGGTCACAAAGAGTTAGACAACTGAACAAGATTATAACAAATTGTAATGACCGAGGCCCAACTCCCAAACACAACCAAGGAGACAGAATTCCACACATGACATAGTGTTTGAGTTTTTGACTTGGAGTCAGGAAGTTGTTGTTTTTGGTTGTGGGTTTTCTTGGCAAGGATACTGGAGCAGTTTGTCATTTCCTTCTCTGGTGGATTAAGGCAAATACAGATTAAGTGACTTACCCAGGGTCACACAGTTTGTGAATGTCTGAGGCCGGGTTTGAATTCAGGAGCTGGAAAGACCTATATTCACATTCTACCTTTGAAGCTTATGTGAATACATAAACAAGCCCCTTGATCTTTATGAAGCTCAGTTTGCTCATCCCTAAAATGAGTAGGTTTAATTGGTTGCTCTATGAGGTCCCTTCCCATTTTAATTCTGGGATTCTGTGAGCCAAAGTCCAAATGTTTGCTATGGCTTTTTGGAAATTGGATTTGCAGAAAAATGTGTGTCACCCAAAAACAAAAAAAAAAAAACAAGCAAACAAAAAAAAAGACTTGGCCCTAAAACCTGAGCTGATAACTACTCCAGGCAGGTTAATTGTTCTTTTTTGTCAAGCCTTGCTAACCAATTGGAAAAGAGGGCTTAATAGTACAACCCCATACTTACTTCCCTAGGATGTGAAATTATCATGATTCTAGTAATAAAATCTCTCAGGATTAATTAGGAACCCACCTTGTGTTGCTTACCACTTCCTGCAGAGTGAAAGGATTTGAAGGGCTGGTACCCCTAATCCTCTCTTTAGTCCACAAGATGTGGCTCCACACACTCAACCTGACAGAACAATTAGTAATAATGAAGAGAAAATTGTAAAATTGCACACATGCTTCCATGGTTTTCAATTGGGTAATTAATATGCAAAAAATGTAGTCTGTATTAATGGAGGATCCAGAAGCTGTAATCTCTCTTCCCCACTGGTTTTTATGCCTCCTTTCCTACTAGGCATAGGTTTCAGTTCATTTTTTTCTTTTATCAAATGTTTATTTATAATTTAATTTTTAAAAAATAGCATCTATTTTCTCTCCCTTTATTTTCACAGCCCCATTTCCCTTCCACCCCCACCCCATCTCAGGGTGGGTGTGGGTTCAGCTGGCTTTAGAAGAAGTCCCTGACTCAAGGACTTTCTCCCTTAGAATACCATTTCTGGACACCTTACATTTATTTCTGTTCATTTTCTTTTTCCTGTATTTCTCAGCTATCCAAGGGATTGTCAATATGGGGAGTAAGGATGCTAATGGGAACACTTTTTTCATAGGGCTTATGGGATTTATCTATCTATCATCTATCCATCTATTCAATCATTTGTATTCTGAATTTAAACACCAAATAAAATAAGCCTTTCTGCATAGTAGAATGAATGAGCACACTAAATTACAGATCTCTACTATGTATAACTTGCTTTTTAAATTTAAACTTTAAAGTCAGGAGGATCTGAGTTCAAATATGGCCTCAGGCCAAACACTTGACACTTACTAACTGTGTGACCTTGGGCAAGTCACTTAAGCCCTATTGCCTCACAAAAAAAAAATAATAAAAAATAAATTTAATCTTTAGCTTTCAAAGCTATCCTGCTTGTCTGTGCCTCTTTCTGGCCTTCCTTCTGTTTTCTTCTTTGCATTTTTTAAAGGATGCCTCAATGACCCCCTTTTCAAATTTCATTTTTGGTATTATAGTTTTATATCTTGAATCCTTTGACCTTGTAGAAGGGATGAAGGGACCATGGAACCCTAGAAGTTCAATCCTAGGCCAGGATTAAAGATGACAAGAAGATTGAGTCTCAGGGTTAGGCAACCTTCTCCGTGGGCTAGACTGATTCCAGGATATGAGGCTATCAGGTAGTTTCTAGGCCAACCCTAGGAAGTACAAAGCAGGACAAGCTCTTGCATGTTACCAGATATTCTAGCCCTGTTTCCTGGAACTGCCCCTCCAAAATTTGCAAGTCACTTTCAGTGATGCCTCTTTATTCTGACTTTGTTAGAAATGGAGTTTTGACTCCTGCATTCAGATCCTGCCTCTGATATTTCCTAGATGTGCCACCATGGAACAGAGAGTTAAACTCTCTGAGGCTTGATTTTTTCATCTACAAAATGGGGATAATAATATCCATAGTACCTATTTCACAAGGTTATCAAGAGGCTCAAGTGAAATCACGTATGCAAAGTGCATTGCCAACTTAAACACAACATATTCTTATTATAATCTATAATTATATATATATATTTATTATAATTTCTCTGACACAGGGTAGTCTTGTTTTTGGGAAGAGAATTTTGAACAGGGATTCAAAGCAAAGCAAAAGCAATGATATTCGTAATATTAATAACTGACATTTACATAGTATGTTTAAGTTTGCAAGGCTCTTTACATATCACATTTGTATCTCATAGCACTCCTGTGAGTTAGGTACAGATATTTTTAAAATTGGTTTTCTTTTTATTTTGAGCATTAATACTACACATGAACATTTTCAGATACAAGGAATAGAAAAGGGAGGCTGTATATTAGCATGGTAGCTCCTTGAAAGTGAGGATATTTCTTTATATTTTTTGTTTTTAATTTCACTTTGTTGTTTTTTGATATTATTATTACTTTGTTGATAGGGAGATGTTCCGCCTGTATCCCCTACCCTTCCCATCTCTTTTAACAAAGAATTTTTAAAATAAGAGGAAAAGGAAAAAAAACAACAATAAAACCAATGAATACATTATATGCAATGCTTCCCATCCCCAGGACCTATACCTCTGCAAAAGAGCAGGGAGAGGTGTCTTCTTTGGGGATAAACTTGGTCATTATACAAGCATTATTAGAGAAGAAACTCAGGCACAAAAAAAATCCAAATATTGGTACAAAATTCAAAGCAGGGACTCTTGTCCTAGGGTCCATAGATCTCTAAGGGGTCCATGAATAATAATAATAATAAGGGGTTCAGGGAGTCTGTGAACCAAAAGGGAAATTTTACATCTTTAGTTTTACTGTCCTCTAACTGAAACTTTGCATTTCCTTCAACAACTTCAAAACATTATTCTGAGAAAGGGTTCATATGCTTTACCAGGCTTCCCAAAGGGTCTATGCCACACAACGAATGTTAATAGTCTCTCATTCAAAGAATGACCTGTTTCAAACCATTGATTTTTGTTTGCAGACTGAATCTCCACTTATAGTTCGACCCTATTTATCACATCTCACCAAATCTGAGCTCCATGCAATCATGACTGCAGGATTTTCAACCATTGCTGGAAGTGTCTTAGGTGCATATATTTCTTTTGGGGTAAGTGAAAATGCTTTTGGAATTTCATTATGGAAAATGCAATCTGTTTCTCTTGTCTTCTATGGCCTTTTCCTCTCTCTCCAGTGATGAACAAAGGGGTGGCAGCAGTGACCTGGTTTGTGGTTGGCATTATTAGCAACTGTGGTAATATAGAAAAGGTCTAGTATCTCACCTCTATATCTCTGCCTCATCAGCTATTTCTGGAAAAGAATATGAGCTCCTATGAGAAATTGGTACTAAAATGACTATGGATATTAGATACTTCTATGGATATGTGATCTCATTGATGTGGGCATTTTATCACCAGAGCTAATCACAAATCTTCCATGCCTTCTAATTTTTTAATATAAATAGAAAATTCATAGTGACATAAACAGATTAAATTTATGTTCTGGAATGCCAATAGTTTAAAACAGTAGCCTACTAAAAAGCTAGCGGTCTAACTTTTTGATTGATGGCCCTTGTGAGAAAAAACAAATGAGCATGCACCCCCCAATATGTGAATGTGTGTTTGTGTGTCCATGGTGTCTCTTGTTAGAATAAATGTAAGCTCCTTAAGGGCAGGGACTGCTTAATTTTTTTTCTTAGTGCTTAGCACAATGCCTGGCACATAGTAGGCACTTAATAAATGAATACTGATTGATAGATTCTTAGATGATGGACTGATGGATTCTGCCACATGCGAGTTGGATAAATGAATTGAAAGCAAACACAGATTCATTTGGTGAATGAGGATGCTAGGAGTGTTTATGGACCAGATAAGCTGGAATGTTTCTGGAATAGGGCACAGACTCCAGGTGTGAGGGAAGAGAAAGAAGCCCATAAGAGTGGGCAGGCCTGATCTGTGTGGGTGATTGGGGCAAAGTCAATAGTTATCCATCAGTCAATGATCATGGAGCTTACATTCTAACAGAGAATAGATCACATACATATGTCATTATATACAGAACATACATAAAATGAATACAAAACAAATGTTGAGGGGGGATAGGTGGGGCATCACTAGTAGGTGGGAGGATCAGGAACAGCTTCATGTAGGAGGTGACTATGCTAAAGGAAACCAGGTATTCTAAGAGGAGTAGGTAAGGAGGGAGTACATTCAGGGCTGGGAACAGGGGAGGCAAGGAGGACAGATGGAGAAATGTGTGTAAGGCCAAGATGGCCACTATGGCTGGACCTATATAGAATGTGTGCAAGGGAGTAATGTATAAAAAGCCCTGGAAAGGTAGGAAGGAGACAGGTATTAAGCACTTTAAATGCCAGCAAAGAAGTTTACATCTGATCCTGAGGTCCTGTAGAGTGTTTACTGACAAGGGAGACAACATGGTCTGAGACCTCCATGCGTGGCACTGTACAGTCATGTGCAACTCTTCATGACCCCCATGAATGCCAATATTGTCCATGGGATTTTCTTGGCAAAGAAACTGGATTGCCAAAGAGGTCAATGACACTGAAATGGTTAAAAACTCCTAGGCTAGATGGGCTATGCTCCTTCTGGTCTGAGATTTTATGATCTTCACTTGCCTAAACCTCTCAAAAAAAAAAAAAAAAAACATAAGCAGCTAAATGATGCTGGACCTGGAGTCAAGAAAACCCGAGTTAAAATTTGGCCTCAGAGTCCTTGCTAACTGTATGACCCTGGGCAAGCCTTAACCTCTCAGCCCCAGTTTCCCCAACAGTACAATGTAATGAGAGCAGCACCTTTCCCCTAATATTGTTATGAGGATAAAATAAGGTAGTATTTGTAAAGCATTTGTAATTCTTAAAGTACTATAAAATGTCAATCATTATTATAGTAAACTTTTTTATTTAAAAAAAAATCTGACATCGCATCAACTCCTTATCTCTGATGAACCTTCTAAAGATCTTATTACTTTTTGACTAATGTTTATAAGAGGATGCATCAATGAATAAAGAATATCAGCTAATTCTCTTACATTTGAAATTACAGGTTTCAGCGTCACATTTGTTAACTGCTTCCGTGATGTCTGCCCCTGCGTCTCTGGCTATTGCTAAATTATTTTGGCCTGAGACTGAAGTTCCTAAAATAACTCTCAAGGGTACCTTGCAAATGGAGAAAGGGTAAGTAGGGGCATATTCATCCATCTCTCACAAAAAGTAATAAGGCCTGTGTAACCTGTCTACTCCAGTAGATTTTCCCCTGCTTTGTTTCCTCTGGGAAAAGAATAAAAGGAAAATTCCAAGTATGGTAAAATCTCAATTAACCAGAACATTCAGGGAATGATGTCCTCTGGTTCATTTAATTTTCCAGTTACCACTTAGGCTTAACCAGAAATCCCTTTTTTATTTCGACCCTCACTGCTGAAAATCTTTCTAAATGTAATAATCCAATTTCCGGCTTTGGAAAAGACAGTACAGTGAGCATAATTGAATCTCTTTGATTAAGGAGCTTGTGATGCCTCAGGGTGGTGATCATTCTGAAGATCTGCTCTCATTGAGATGTAGCATTGTAGGCAATCGGCCTGTATGAGTACTGGCCCGAGGATGTACCTGGAAGAAAAAAAAAAGACCAAAAAAATGAAATTCCTATTTTCTCTACTCTTTATCAATCGACTATAATCATACAGAGACTATATCTCAATTGATTGATACTTGTTTGAGTTATGGGTTAATTTTTAGAGTTAATTTTTATTCCAAACATTACAACCAATGTGCAGAGAAACAGACACATATACCACTTTATCTCAGTGGCACTTCTGTAGTTTTGTTTTGTTTATGCCTTTTGTTTTCAACATCACATTCATTTCCCAACATATTCCTAATACATTTGAGAACATGTAACAATCTGTTGAACATATAATAGGTATATAACAACCATAATAATAGATAACATACACACACACAAACATTTAAACATTATAGATAAACCTTGAAATGTTTTATACATGCTAAGGTTTGCAAGGACTTTACATATTATCTCCCAGGAAACTTAAATAAGAATCCATAGTGTGTGAAAGTTTACACCAGCTTGACATTTTATGAAAACACTTCAGAGCAAGATCCTTGCAGTATATATAGAAGAATGAATCATAACTGTGGAGCTGGAAGGGACTTCGGATACTAAGGGTGGGGAACCTATGGCCTCAAGACCACATGTGACCCTCTAGGTCCTCAAGGTTGGCCCTTTGACTGAATCCAAACTTTATGCAAGTCGAGGACCTAGAGGGCCACGTGTGGCCTCAGCCACAGGTTCCCCACCTGATCTAGCTTAACCACTCCCCTCACCATTTTATAGATGAGAAAACTGAGGCCCAGGGAAGTTAAATGACCTGTCCACAATCACACTGACAGTATCAAAGGTGGGATTTGAACATAGGTCCTTTGCTCCAACTGAGGTCTGAACTGACCCTTTTGCTGAGGAGTAATGAGGCTTTGTTTCATAATGGTCAGGTTGTCTTTTTTAAAAGTGTTTTTTGGGGTAGCTAGGCAATGCAGTGGATAGAGCACCAGCCCTAAAGTCAGGAGGACCTGAGTTCAAATCCAGCCTCAGACCAAACACTTGACATTTACTAGCTGTGTGGCCTGGGCAAGTCACTTAATCCCAATTGCCTAGAAAAAAAGAAGTGTTTTTTATTGTCAAATATTGTTTCAACAAACAGATACTAACTGAAAAAAACAAACCATGTGCCTTCCACCAGCACTGACCTCTTTCCTGACTGTCTCCCCACAAAAACATATTCTCACAAAATAGTTAAGCCAAAGCAGGCAGTTTTTTTAGTTAGGGTACAACATGAACTGAGCTAGTATCCATCCACCTGGAAATGAATAATTATCTATCTTATACTTAGTGACATGGGATTCTAAAATGCACAAAACTGCACAACAACAAAACAGAAAAGAGTATGAAATGTTGAGCAAAATATTTTTAGGGTAAGTATTTATAATTTGTCTTTACGTGCAAACGTTGTAGGCAGGCCCCAACTGGTAATGAAGCCTGCTGATTCACCAAGAGAATAGTTTCCCAACTGTACTTCTAATTCACATTCCTGAGATATGACAACTTGAAATGTGATTCAGTTCCATGAAGCAAATATTTAAGTACTTACTCTGTGCTTATAAAAAGAATCAGTATCCTTTTAATTTGAACTTTAAAAAAAAAAAAGTATTCTTTTTCAGAAATATCTCCAAAAGGGGGCATGGAAAAATAGGTCTATTAATGCATTGTGGGTAGAGCTGTGAACTTGTCCAGCCATTCTGGAGAATAATTTGGAACTATACCAAAAGGGCTACTATGCACACATAACCCTTTGACCCAGCAATACTACCCCAAGTCTAAGGTCAAAGGAAAAGGACTTGTATGTGCAAAAATATCTATAGTAGCTTTTTTGTGGTGGCAAAGAATTGGAAACTGAAGGGATGCTCATCAATTAAGGAATGGCTGTGCAAGTTGTACTAAATGATTGTGATGGGTTACTGTTGTGCTTTAAGAAATGACTAGGGGGAGGCAGCTAGATGGTGCAGTAGATAGAGCTCTGGCCTTGGAGTCAGGAGGACCTGAGTTCAAATGCAGCCTTAGACACTTAACACTTACTAGCTGTGTGACCCTGGGCAAGTCACTTAAACCCAATTGCCTCACCAAAAAGCAAAAAAAAAAAAAAAATGACTAAGGGAATGGTTTCCAAAAAACCTAGGAAGACATATATGAGCTGATGCAAAGTCAAGTGAGCAGAACCAAGAGAACACTGTACACAGTAATAGCAATATTATAAGGTTGATAACTATGAAAGATTTAGCTACACTGTTCAACAGAGCAATCTACAGTTCCAAAGGACTCATGATGAAAAATACTATCCGCCTTCAGAGAGAGAACTGCTGAACCCTAAGGGCAGATTACAGCATATTTTCTTTCACTCTGTTTTTCATGCTTCCCCCCCCCCGCCCATGACATGGCTAAGGTGGATATATGTTTTGCATGACTTCAAATATATAATGGGTATTTCTTGACTTCTCAATGGGTGGGGGAGAGGCTGGAGGGAGGGAGAGAATTTGGAACTAAAAAATAAAAATTTTAAAGAAATTTGTCTCCAAGAGATTTTCAAATATCTCAGTTTTATATTCTGCCTAAACTAAGGTGTTGAGTAGCTTCTAGGATTTGATAAGAACCTTCATCCGAGCTGGCATTTTGGAAAACAATTTGGAATTATGCTTAGTTATTAAAATGTCCATACCTTTTGATTTAAGAGATTCTACTTCTCAGGCATGTACCCCAACGGAAGCAAAGATGTGAAAGGTTCCATATACACCAAAATTATCTTCATGGTACTTTTCTTTTTTTTGTTGAAGTGACTTGCCCAGGGTCACACAGCTTGTGAGTATCATGTGTCTGAGGCCAGATTTAAACTCAGATCCTCCCAACTCCAGGGCTGGTGTTCTATCCACTGTGCAACCTTGCTGCCCTGATAGTACTTTGCAAAGATGCAAAGAATTGGAAACAAAGTAGATGACCACTGATTGGATATGGTGTTAAACAAGTTCTGGTTCATGAATGTGATGGAATGTGACTACTATTAAAAATGGTGAATATAAAGGATACACAGAAGCATTAGAAAACTTATATGAACTAATGTAAAGTGAACTCAGCCGAGCTATATAACTATACCTAATGATTACAGTAATATAAATGAAAAGATAATATTAAAAAAATCCTAAACTCTGTGTAATTATAATTACCATGCTTAGCCCCAAAGAAGAGATGAGAAAATATACCTCTTTACTTTCATTATAGAAGTAAGGAACTCATACATGCTTAACATTGCATACATGTGCTTAGTTTTGCTGAACTGACTTTTCTTTGTTACAAGAAATTTTTTTCTGGGTAGGGAAATGAGGAAGGATATGTTTGGAAAGGAAGGAACAATAATTTTTTTTACAGGAAAAAAAAAGACTTTGGTTGGAATTCACCATATGATCATGGCTGAGTGACTTAATATATCAGAGTCTCAGCTTCCTCATTTATAAAATGGGCATGATAGCATATGCACTGTGAAACCCACAACATGTTGTAAGGACATCAATTTGTAATCTTATCATTCAGCAAACAAGCATTTTTTTTAGTAACATTTTTTCTCCAATTACATTTAAAAACAATTTGTAACATTATTTTTATTATTTTGAGTTCCAAATTGTCTCCTCTCCTCTCTGAGGAGGTAAGCAAGTAAGCAATTTGACATAGGTTATACCTGTGCAATCATGCAAAACATTTCCATATTAATCGTGTTGTTAAAGAAGACACAGACCAAAACAAAATGAAGAAAAAATTTAAAAAGTGAAAAATAGTATGCGTTGATCTGCATTCAGACTCCATCAGTTCTTTCTCTGGATGTGGATAGCATTTCTCAAATGTGAGTCCTTTGGAATTGCCTTTGATCATTGTATTGCTGAGAATAGCTAAGCCATTCAACAGTTGATCATCACACAATATTACTGTTACTGTATGTAATGGTCTGCTGGTCCTACTCACTTCACTTTGCATCAGTTCACATAAGTCCAGGTTTTTCTGAAATCATCCTGTTCATCATTTCTTTGTTATTTTAATTTTGGATTAATTTTTTTTATTTATCAACAATCACTTCCATAAGCTTGAGTTTCAAATTTTTCTCCCTCTCCCTTCCCCCTCCCTCCCCAAGACGGTGCACAATCTGATATATGCTATACATATACATTCCTATTAAACATATTTTCACATTAATCATGTTGTAAGAAAGAGTTAGAACCAATAGGAGGAACCACCAGAAGGAGGAAACAAAACAAAAGAAAAAAAGTAGCAAATAGTATGCTTTGATCTGCATTCAAACTCCATAGTTCTTTCTTTGGATGTGGATAGCATTTTCCATCATGAGACCTTTGGAGATGTCTTAGATCCTTGCATTGCTGAGAAGGGCTAAGTCTATAAACATTAGTCATCGTACAATGTTACTGTTACTGTGTACAACATTCTCCTGGTTCTGCTCATTTCACTCAGCATCAGTCCATACAAGTCCTTCCAGGTTTTTCTGAAGTCAGCCTGCTCATCATTTCTCATAGTGCAATAGTATTCCATTACAATCATATACCACAACCTGTTCAGCCATTCCACAATTGATGGACATCCCCTCAATTATCAATGCTTTGCCACCACAAAAAGAGTTGCCGTAAATATTTTTGTACAAATAGGTCCTTTTCCCTTTCTCTGTTCTCTTTTGGATATATACCTAGTGGTGGAATTGCTGGATCAAAGGGTATGCATATTTTGGTTGCTCTTTTGACACAGCTCCAAATTGCTCTCCAGAATGGTGGAATCCATTCACAACTCCACCAACAGTGTATTGTGCATCCCCTCCAATGTTTTTCATTTTGCTTTTCTCAGCAAGCATTTATTAAGCATCTATTATGTGCCAAACACCATACTAGGCACTGAAGATCCACAGGCAAAAAAATAGCTCCTGCCCTCAAGGATCTTAAACTTTCTTGGGGGAGACAATATATATACCTATAAATCTATACAAAGTAAACACAAGGGGAGACACTAATGTAGAGGATGGGGTGAGGGGAGGATTAGGGGAAAAAGCCTCATTTGAAGATAGCATTTGAGCTGAGTTTACGTTTATATCTAGCACAATGCCTGGCACATAGGGGTTCTTGATAAATGCTTGCTGATCTGATTGATTATTAATAGCAATAATTAAATATGAGTTCCATTAATTATTTCTACTTGAGAATAAAGAAAATTATTTTAATCCTTTTTCATCTCAGGCCTGTTGCATGACTAGTGGCACTAAATAAACTATTCATCCACCAAGTTCAATATTAGAGTTCTACCTCCAGGGAGTTTTCACTGCTCAGGAATCCAATAAATTCTTACGCAACTAGCACGACTGCATACTGTGACCCTGATTGATAACTGCTGTTCACCATAACTGGTTTCTTTTGTAATCCATAGTTTTTATTTCAAGCCTTTAAAAACACTTTTATTTTTCCTAAGAAGCGTTCACTAGGCTTTACCAGACTGCTCAAGGGGTCCAAGACACAAACAAGGTTAAGAACCCCTGCTCTAGTCAACCCCAAATGAGAAAGAATACTAAGATCAGGAAGGTTAAATGCTTTGACCAAGGTTATACAAATAATAAATAGCCAACTTGGGATTCAAGCTTCTCAGCTTCCAAATCTGGCATTCCCTCCACTGTACCACAGTGCCTCTCTTTAATAGTCTATGATTCTAACAGATAATGGGTATCATATTTCTTGCCTTTCCATTGGGTGGAGCAGGAGGCAGAGTAAGAGAGAGAATTTGGAACAGAAAATAGTTTTTTAAAATAGTCTATGATTCTAGATTTAGAAGAAATGTTAAAGTCAGTTGAGAGACCATGAAATAAATCTTCAACCAGTGTGACCTCTGCTCTATTGCCACTTTTCTCCCTCCCCAATAGTTCAACAAGTCAACTAGGTTTAAAAAAAAATTGTTAAGCACCTGTGATATGAAGCTCTGGGAATACAAAAAGAAATATGAAATGGTCCCTTTCCTTGAGGACCTTACATTCTACTGGAGTGAGGAAGGAACATAACATGTATATAAGAATTAAATATACAGAATTTGAGAAAGGAGAAAGCACTGGAAACTATGGATGAAGTGGGGGAATGGAGTTGAACAGAGAACTCTTCACAAGGGAGGTAACAGGAGTGCAACTTTGAAGAAAGGGAAATCTCCAAAGAGGGTTGAATGAGAGAAGGCATTCTGGGTAAGTTGGTTTTGCAAATGCTTGGAAGAGGTAGGAGAAGGAATCCTGAGTTCTCAGAATAGCTATGAAGAGAACCTGATTAAAGGGGAAGAAAGAAGAAAAACCAATGGAGAGAAAAGAACTGTTACTTCATCTTCACAATGAGAGGGTTGACCTTGGGGGTTGCTTTGAATTTTATAACTATGAAGCCCCAAGAGGCTGGATGAGAATCCTGACAACTGGTGTTTTGATTTTTTTTTTTTTTATGTCATGCATGCCTTCAGTGTTCTGGCAAAGCTTCTGGACCCTTTCTCAGAATAATGCTTTTACATGCATAGAATACAATACATAAGATTACAAAGGAAATCAATTATATTAAAATAGAGTTCTCAAAATATTTTTTTGAAATACGTTCGTGGGCATCAGGTTAAGAACTCCAACCTTGGAAGCCAAGCAAATGAAATTTGAAGAGAAGTTTGTCAAGGGAGGGTAGTTAGCAAAATCAAATGTTACAGAGAGGTTTAGGAATGCAAAATCCAGTCACTGCTTAAAGTTCAAAGAGTAGTTTCTTAGTGGAATTATGGGGCAGAAGTTAGATAGCAGGAATTAATCTGGAGAGAGGTCAATCAGTGTAAGCATTTACTAGATACCTACTATGGTCCAGGCACTGTGCTAAACTCTGGTGATACAAAGAAAGACAGAAGACAGTCCCTGCCCTTGAGGAGCTCACAATCCAATGAGGAAGACAACATTCAAACAACCTTGTACAAATGAAATATAGAAGAATAAATAGGAAATAATTAACAGAGGGAAGGTACTAGCATTAAGAGAGGTAAGCTAGCGTTTTAAGGTTTGAGGTATAGAAGAAAGGGAATAAGGTCCCAAAGAACTAGGGTTTGCCAGAGGCAGAGTTCTGAGGCCTTTCCATGAAGACCCCAACTCTTTCAGCCAAGGTAGCCCTTTCTTCTCATCTGAAACAGCTCTGCTTCAGTCATCCCCATCACTCACTGTGTTGACTCCAACTGACCTAGAAATGTCTCGTTAGTGTTGGAATTCTGTTTTCTTGATATAGGGACTCGAGAAATCTCCTGGAAGCAGCAAGCCACGGAGCTTCCTCTTCCATCACTCTGGTGGCAAACATCGCTGTGAACTTGATTGCCTTCTTGGCCCTCCTGGCTTTTGTGAATTCAGCCCTTTCCTGGCTAGGGAACATGTTTGACTACCCTCAGCTGAATTTTGAGGTATACCATTTTTCAGACCTTTTCACTCTAGGGGGTATTATTTCCAAGTATATTAAGTAACTGTTTGAAATTTGAAACTATTTGAAATAAAGACCCATATTCTGCTACTATAAAGCATAAGCTTCCAATATTCCCATACTTCCATTCAATTTAATTTAGCTAATATTTATAAGTGTAAAGAAAGTAATGCGAAATAACTTCACGAGATAGCAAGCACCAGCAACTGAGGGGAATCAGTGGGAAATGGTCAGAAGGATGCTAGGGATTCAGTGCTGTGCAGGTTAGAAGGGAGTACATTCCAGACATGGAATACTGCTTTGTGTAAAGGCACAGAGAAAGAAGAATGTTGTAGATAGGTAACAGCTAGCAGTCTAGTTTAGTGTTGTAGGTAGGTAACAGCTAGCATTCTAGTTGGACTAGAGTGGAGAGTAATATGAAATAAGATTAGAAAAATTATGGAGGACCTTAAATTTAATTCCATATATCTAAACCCTTTCTAATACACTTCCATCTTTTCTTTCCTCTCCACTACACTGCCACCACCTCATCCCCTTCCTACCCCATCCCCACCAAAGCACCAAAGCACTATCTTCTTGTGACAAGCAGGTGCTTGGATTAAATCATGTCTTTAGATGCCATCGAACATCACTGACATATGAGGCTTAGGTTGATAAACTGATAAGTAATTGGATTCCAAAAGGTTTGGGGATCATGGATCATGATTACTTAAAATCATCATGCATCCTCTGGTCTTTTTTTTTTTTTGTAGGTGATCTGCTCCTATGTCTTCATGCCTTTTTCTTTCATGATGGGAGTTGACTGGCAAGACAGCTTTCTAGTTGGTGGACTGATAGGATATAAGACTTTCTTCAATGAATTCGTAGCCTTCCAACAACTTGGAAAAATGATCAAGTTGCGAAAACTAGCTGGACCCAAATTTGTAGATGGTGTGCAACAATATATGTCTGTGAGTACCTTCATTATTTTGCCTTTCAGATGGGGTCTTCAATTCCCTAGATGTATATTAACATGCCATTTTGACTTGTGTTTAATGTTTTATTTCAAGAAAGAAACCCAGGTTGTCAGAATAGAGTAACAAACCCTTTCTCAAAGTGGTGGTCTATTTCTGAGCAGCACAGGAACAGGCCCAAGACCACATTTGTCTCAGAATTTAATAAAAGGCTACAGGGAATATCAAAATTTACTGTTGACATACATTGGGATAAGGTGGGTTGAACTCTGAATCTGTAGATTCTCAATGAATGAGAATCTCCATTTCACCACTTCCTCCCTGTGAAGATTTAGGCAAGCCACCTAAATTCCCTGAAGCCTCAGTTTCCTCTTCTGTAAAATGGGAATTTATACTGGATGACCTACAGTATCTTCTGACTCTTAATCTATCAAAGCTCTTCAACTACAAATCCAGTTTGCTTTCCCACTATACCAGGCTGTCTCCCTTTCTATCTTCCTACTTCTGGGCAATAAAGCTGATGCTTTGGTTACATCTTAGTTCACAAGGAAAATGTAAGAGACGTAAAGAGCTCAATTTGGATGGTCTGACAGTATCCACAACGGTAAGCAGATAGAGTCCAGACAGAAGAGGACCAAAAAAATTATGATGATATTCCCTTGAGCTTTACCCAAGCTTCCAGCCAATCAGGATGAAAGCCTGCACTTTCAATGGGTCTAGCTTTTAACACTTTCCCCTACTAACTTCTCCCTCTTCTTTCCTTCCACCCCCCTTTTCCTCTCTTTATCTAGCCCATAGGATTTAGTAACAATACACTTATCTTCAGAAGACACTTTTTTTTCTTTTTTTCTTTCTTTCTTTTTTTTTTTGGTGAGGCGATCAGGGTTAAGTGACTTGCCCAGGGACACACAGCTAGTGTTAAGTGTCCAAGATCAAATTTGAACTCAGGTCCTCCTGATTCCAAGGCTTGAGTTCTATCCACTGCGCCACCTAGCTGCCCCAAGAAGACATACACTTTTGAACATGACCAATGTGGAAAATTATTTCCCTGAACTATGCATCTTAATTATATGAGGGTGTGTGTGGTTTTTTTTTTAATTGTTCAGTTGGGAAGGATAGTATGAGGGAAAGATAATGCATCCAGAAATTTTAAAAAAAAACTGAAGATTAAATACATATAAATTGAAAAATAAATGATTGCTTAACAATAACAACAAAAAAGCAACTTTATGCTTCACTCAGAATGGCTTAGTATTTATACCTGAAACTTTGGTTAAAACATTGAAGTTAACTTATTAACTAAGAATCCTCCCTCTTAGGCTTCTTGAGGCTAGGGTTAGCTGGTACCATGCCAATAAATGACCTTCATAGAATAACAGATTTAGATTTAGAGTTAGACAGAATTTTAGAAGTTTTCTAGTCCAGTTCCCTCCATTTCACAGTTGAGGCTACTATGGCCCAGAGTGGTTAATGACTTTTCTGAGTTCACATAGGTGGCAATCAGTGGGGTTGGAATTTGAACCCATGCCCTCTGATTCCAAATCCAGTGCTATCCTGTTGGGGTTTTAGACAACGAGCAATGAAAGACCAGAGTCAAGATCAAAAAATTTAAGGAGAGAGGAAAGAGCTAAGTGGTTATCTCCTACTTGAACTTTCTGGAATGGGACCTGCTCATGGCTTGTGGTGATTCACTTGAATCTATCCCAGTCTGAGATGTATACTTATCTATTTACCTATGGAACTCTCCTTTCTCCATAGCTCTTAACTCTACTGGCATTTTCTCACTATTATTAGAGAGCCACTGTAAACAGTATAAAACCAGTGACATTAATTCAAGATCAAAAGTAATGCTACTACCCCCTATATACTGCTTGTCTGCTTCTCTTGCCAGCTGGATAACTCACTGGTCCTCAGCATAGATTAATAAGATGGGATTGTTTAGTCAGATAATCCATTTGGCTTACCTAGACATAGAATTTTACACAGTCCAACCAATTCCGAGTCAGTTATTCTTGACTAATTCAGATGAATAACAACATGTAAAATCCAGTAAAAATAACTCCACATTGGTCAATAAATGACATTATAATCTCTAAACTGGTTAACAAATTCCCCACCTTTACTGGTAACATTGCTACAGTGCTTATAGATACGTTCAAATAACTTTGCCCCAAGGTCTTGGCAGCTAGGTGGCACAATAGATAGAGCACTGGACTAAGTATGAGGAATACAGTCACTGGATAAGTCACTTATTTTCTATTTGTCTTGGTTCCTCATCGTAAAATGGGGAGAATAATAGCACCTGCTTCATAGAGTTGTTGAGATCAAATGAGATATTTTAAAGTACTTTGCAAACCTTAAAGCTCTTTATAAGAGCTAGCTATTATATTATTAGCATATATCATTATTATATTTGTTTTTATTTTATTTACTTGTATTTTTATTATGTTATATTTTTATAAGACTACACTATATAAAATACATATATAATAATATAATACATAGCATAAAAAATAAACCTTAATCATTTCTCTTTTCAACCATCCCATTCTCAAGCACAAGAGAGAAAGAGGGTATGATTTTTCCATTATCATTCTGCTTCCTACAGCTAATTCTGAAGCATGAAATTGAGGCTTGTTTTTATCTCCTATACTTCCTGATGTTAAAACAGGGCTTGATCTCTGTGATCATCATAAATCTTTCCTGATGACTAATAGGTGTGAAAGCTAGTTTGTGGGACTAGTACTGATTTGCCCATGACTTCTAAGACCCTTCATACTCTGGAACTCCCCTAAAATACTCAAATCTTGCCACTAGAGATTTCCCTGAGATAAGCATGGTATGGCATATTTGTATAATAGATAAAGCCAGCATAGGCAGATGAAGACCCCAAAGCCTATGTCCCCAGAATAGGAAACCATCTTACAAAGTATATATAAGCTCTTTTATGGTCTGGGTATGGTATTGCTATTATATGTAGGATTTCTCAGGGAGCAAAAGTTTTATCTTGGGTGTCTACTAGGACTTTGGATCATCATATGCTAATAGGTCTCCGTGTTTTGTTGGCTTCCCCCATGTTTTGCACTAGCATGCAAAAATTTCAGTTGGGACCCACACACCTAGATGTTGGTACACTTCCCCTCTAGGCTGAAGATCCGAGATGAGTCTTGACAATCCTGGTCCAGTGTTCCTCTAGACTCCTCCTGTCCCAGTTTTATGATGTTTGCTAGCCCTGTCACAGTCTAGTCTTAGCCCTCAAAGAACTCTTCTCCAATTCACCTTTGTTCTTGAACATCATTAGTTCCACATTCCGGGATCAATATGCCAATCAATTCTTTATTCACTGCATCTTGATTTCCTCAGAAAACTCCATCTGTTTACTGTTGAAGTTGCTGGATGTATGTGTAAATGTGTGTATACATTCTCACATTCTTTTAAGTCCATTTTACTCCAAACATCTTCATTGTCCCATAAAAAGCATTAGAGCAAGACAATCCTGATTCATATATTTGCAGCACAAACATGTAAGTGTGAAGCGACCAGAATGATATTAATCACAACATATTCTTCCAGGATAGTAGCTGTCCATGGATTCAATGTCTCACTTGAATCTTACCCCTCATGGGCTCAGGCTGGGGTAGGTAGGCATCCACTTATTACCTGTGGGGTTTTTTTGTGAGGGGGAAGTCAGGCTGGGAGCAGACTTGTGATTTCATCAGTGTATGGAACTCCCGGTGTGGATGCACCTTCCACAGTATGGATCAGGAACCTTTCTATGACTTAGGAATTCTAAAATCTGAGGTTCTCAAAGGATGTGCCTCAAGTCTCACTAGGCATGCCATGGAATTATTATCTGTTATTGAAGATTATTATCTGTTAATTATTATCTATTATTGCAGATAAAAAGTTTATTATTTTATTTACCCATTCATCATATACAGTATAATCAGTACAGTATTCACAAAATAAAAAAAAAACTTGCCTATTACATGTAAGCACTAACCTCAAAACACATCAGACCTTGAACTCAACCAAATGGCTGTCTTTATTGTAGGTAAATCACCTTTACAAGTATTCCTGACTCTGTTGTTCTGTATACTGTGTGTGACTCCTCATTGGCATGCTATTAACAAAAAAAAAAAAAAAAAGGTTTAAGAGCCACAGTCTTCATGGGCTAGGAAATCCTTGTGAGGAAACTTCCTCTAGTAATGCAGATGAGTGACTATCCTACAATTTACTGTCTTAGAGAGTTGCCTGGGGCATCTAGAGAGTAGGTGACTTGCTCTTGGTCACATATTCTTTATCCAAACCCAGCTTTTTACGACTTCCTGACTGGCATGTCTCCTATCCACAGTGCCATAATGTTTCTTACTATAATGATAGTACAGATGAATAGTATTAAGAGATGGCATGTAGAAAGAATGATATATCACACTCTGCTCCCATTATTTCCCATTCTCATTTGCCTCTTCCAAAACTTCCAGCGTTTTCCCCAGTCCTGACTAGCTGATGTGGGCTATATGATTTCACATGTACACACATACTTATCACCAAAAATTTAGTCACAGGATGGTGAAATTTTCAAGGTACAGAAATGCATGATGGAGAGATTGCATCAGTGCATCAAATTGTACCAGTGAAGTTTCCTCAGTCATAATCAGCTTTCACCTGCCACACTAGTGTAACACAAACCATTGCAGGTTCCAAGGTTCTTCTTAGCTAAATTCAGTAATTATTACTGGAGGTTTGACTGACATCAGATTATTTTTCTTCTGCATAGCATCTCATGAAACCATATTCTATGCTACAGTATTCATGACTTCATTGGCAGAAAGAATCCCCCAAGCCCACACTCCCTCCATCCCCCACACATGTGAATGCATGGAAGATCTTAAAAGGCACTCACATCCTACTGAATACTGAGCATACTTTAAAAAAAAAAACTAATTACTAAAATGTGAGAGTAAAACTGAACTAGCCATATAAGCTGGGGAACT